GCAATCGCAACCTAGTCGCAATAAAGTAGACTGCCGGCGGACGCGTAGGTGTTCGAACGCAACGAAATAATGATGATTGATCCCTGGAAAGGTTTCACCGTTATAGTACGGACCGGTTCGTTCGACACGTACAGGCTTCCATCGCGGTGTTATTTAGACTAATGCCTCCTTGGTCGCTTGACGTGCCTATTCGTCCTACTAGATTAAGATTATGGGAAAACGTGTCGTCAAAAACTCATGGAACAACTTTTTATACAAGATTCGAAAACTCGCCGATGTTCTGTGATTTTTTTGAAATTAAATTTAGTTTCTACACAATATAGAATAGAGTTTTACGAAGTAACGTATATCCGCTGATTCATTCGTGCAGCACGTACAGTGTATCTGACGCTTCGATATCAGTTTGATGGATTGACAATGGTAGCAGTTATTAAGGGAACGAAAGAAGACGTCGAGATGCTGCATATCTAGCCCGCGTCTGTTCGAAGACGAGCACGTATTTGTTCGCATTATCATGCTAACAAACTTAGCGATATCACTTGTTCTAGCTATAGATAAAATCGGGAAAACGCATAGTAAAATAATTCACATCTCATAATATCTATTTTTCTATGTAAAGATCCATGACAATTTATACCGTCTTTTGATCGTTAAATGATTGAACTGCATCGGAAGGAGAAACAACAAGATTATTTATAATATTTATATAAAACTTAAGGAGAGAATTCTATTTTTTCAGAACCTCATTCTCTTTGAAATAATCTTCGCGAAATGATTATAAAATCATTGTTCAATGATTCCACATGATTGTTTGGTATGTTGCTAATTAAAGGATTTGCGCAATAAATAAATATTTTGATGAAAATATAAATGCCACTTGTTTAAATATTATAGAAATAATATTGATAATTGAAAAAAGAAAATATTCTTTTTTTATTCTTCTACAAGCATCATCAGCGTCTATACGAGTTTCGAATTATCTAAATTCCATTAGTTAATGGATGTCGCTGGAAAGTCGTCGAGTTAAAAATGGTTGTCGTTCCTCACGTTTTTTTGTCACAGCATAGTATCTCTCCATTACTCCCACCGAGTCTCTGTATTCGGGAAATGATGCCTGACGTTCTGCTCGAATCAAAACGCTCGAAACGCCTTTATTTACGATCATCCACGCGCCTCGCCATTCAGCGAGTTCAAAGAAGAGCTCAAAGAGACGCGCGAAGTGGCTTCTAATGCCCGGCTTAATGTTCGTCGCTATTAGAGAAGCTGCGGCGGCCGCGGCAGCGCCCGTTAGATTCTCATCATCGGCACCACGTCTCGTCCGCGACGAACGAGCCGCGTTCCCGCGTCGTCGTCGTGAGAAGAGCTTAACGGTACCTATACAAGCAGCGCTGGACTTATATATAAGGTCATACAAAGGGACATGCTTATAGATTATAGACGCAAAGTTGAGTTTTTCAAATATGCAATAGGTCCATAATTGCTAAATGATACTTGAATTACTTAGAAATGAATAAAGCTAGTTTCTATAAAATTGTTCACGGTAATATCAATATTAATGGAAGCGTATTGTCATCTCTGATAGATCGAGGTATTTGTCACTTTTTTTGTAATCGAGTTTTTTTTATAATATGATAAATATGTATTACTATCGGTTAATCTATCAACCGATTACATAGGCCTTGAGCGTTGTCTGTCTGAAATGCGGCCCTGTACATACGTTCGCCACGAAGACGCACTCTAATTGGAACGCTGGCGCCACGGCGCTCGGACTCGCGTCTCTCTTACCGCGTCTCGACGCGGAAGAACTCCGACGACGACGGACGGATCTCTTCGACGAAATCGCCGGAGCGGCGTTTTTCCGCTTGCCATTGCCGTTTCTAACCGGCACCGATCTTTCAAGGGGATACCGCTCTCATGCGCCGCAAGATTATTTACAAGGCTCGTCGCGCGTCGCCTTTACATCACCGCGTTCCTCCCTCGCGTGTATTTTTAACCCCACCGACGAGTAATTTGGCGTAATAGATAACTGTCACGATAGCTCATTTCAGAATTTTTCGTGTTATTAGAACGGCGCCGCTAATCGCCCGTGACTTCTCGTTTTATCAGTGTGAGGAGACCCATCTCGTTCATTTTGTGAAACCATAATATTTCTCGACTATTTCTGTCGTATATCCAAGCTCAGCCATCTCATATTTTGTCGT